GTACGTAGTCGAAAACTTATTATAAACAAAATAATTATATTATTGATATAGATTATATTTTTAATTTTTCACTTTTTAAAATGGGTAAATTTTTCTCTATGACATTTCTGTTTTTAGTTGGATAGACATGTTACCATTACTACGACCAAACCCAACCCCTTTTTTCCGAATTTTCTATGGAGGTGGTTCGTCTGGATAGAAAAAAGTTAGGTGCGGGAAGACGGAAACTCATAAAGTGCTCGGGGGGCGGCTTCGTGAGCGATTCGGAGGCGGAGATTTCTGCGGGCAGCCTTAGCTGCGGTGGGCGTGCGGCGCGGGCGTGGGCGCGGAGCCCGGGCGGTGAGGCGGGGCGAGGGTGCGCGGCGCACAGGGCACCTTACGCCTCCCGGGGGCCCCCCGTGCCCTCGCCGCTGTCGGCAAGCCATTAGCCCCCCACACGGTCACCCAGATTGCCCTCGCTCCCAAGCGCACCCGCTGTCCGGGGCGCCCTCCCCCCGCCGAACCGGGGCTCGCTTGGGACCCCCGCTGCCTCCGGCCGCCCCCCCCGGCGGTGGCGCGCACCCTTTCGTGCTCTTGGCCGCCTGCTTCCGCCCCCACCTTCCTCGACTCCGCCCCCCCCCCACGCGGCGGTCTCCTTCCGCGGGTGGCTCTTTGGCGCACGGTTCGGCCTTCCTTCCTAATTCACCTTCTCCATTACACCGCTCTCCCCGCTATTTGTTTTCCTTCCTTTTGTCTTCTGGATGGGAAAAGAATTGCCGCCAAACCCAGTGGTTTCGATTACTGTGCTTCAAGCGTAACTATTTCTAGTTCATAGCATAGTTGAATAAATGATTGGTAAACTAGGGACAAGATTTGGTCCCCTTAATATGTTGGAGTATTGGTTGCTACGATATCTGCCAACCACTTCATTGAATTCGTGGTTTCCAATAATAAAATGCGATAAGACTTTTACCCTGAATTACCTTCCCCAGTATCTCACCTCCCTTCTCATGTTTAAAGGTTCTACTTCGCCGCTCCGGTTTTCCTTTCTTTTACCTTCCCCCCTAAATGGCCGGGCTGCTGCATTAGAAACCAGCCTCCCGATATGCATCTCCTTCGGTATCATTTTACTCCTGTATTTTGTTCCTCGCTTTATTTTAAACGCCCACATCCACGCCACGTATTCTCACACTACAGTTTAAAATGAGCTTTTCTTCTGTTTTAAGTGAAACTTCTTATGCGGCGGCTAGTTTTCTTGAGGAGTTGAATGACAGCAACAAAAAAACGGGGATTAGAGTCTTCAGGGAAGCGACCAAAGTTCCCTCTTCACTCGGTTTTGCTTAAATGCTATTACGCCTGTCAAGCAGTTTTCGTCGTTTTGCCCAGTTCGAGATTGGGTAGAAAGGCTACATTCTTGCCATGGGCCAGGATCATGTTCCACAGTGTCTAGTTTTTCAATGCATTTGTCACCATATAAATTATGAAGGCTTTGAAAAAAAAGAAAAGAAGAGGACAACGAAAAACTTACTTCATGAAAAAGAAATGAAATTATTATTAATTAAATTTTGTTTGTGTTTAAGTGCGAAAACCGTTGATCCGCTTTGGTGGGTTCCCCCGATGAATATCTAGGCATATATTTTTTTTAGTATCCAAATACAAAGATGTTTTTTTTTAATTATTTTATAAGGAAACGCCTCTATTCGTATATAAAAATATATAAAATTATGAACTTAAAAATATTCCCAAAATTTGCATTGGTTCATTTAAAATTTCATGTAGGAATAAAAAAATGCCGAAAGTTTATAGATGACATAAATTTTCTTTCCTCGTTTTTGAATTATTCCTTTTTAAACTTTTTCTCTCCTAATAAAATAACTGTTTTGGAAAATCACAAATCGCTGTACAAAGCAATTGTGTTACACTGTTTTTGAATGGATCTGTATTACTCTATTCGGTCCTGGGCAACTTTGCATGGTGATTAGCTTTGTTGGCCTGCCGACGAAAAAAATTGATTTATAAACAAAATTAATCTTGGTAAAATTCATTTACCAGAAACTGTGGGCCTTACCGCAAGTTACTTTTGCCTTGAACCTTCAGAAAAACAAAAATGCATGAAATTAGCTTTGTTTCTTGATAAACTGGTATTATATTGCTAGTCCCACGTTCGTGGGCGGGTTAACAACTGATTATTTAATAATTTATTGGATCATTACCCAGTCGTTAACTAAATCAGCTTATTTCTAATTAACATTGTCCATTCCTTTCACTGGCTAAATCATGCCACCTGAAGGTTCACTTCTGTCCGAGGAAAAACCCCCCCCCCCCCCAGGGGCCCCCCCCCCCCCCCCCCACACATGCAGCTGTCCGCGGGAGGGCTCCTCGCGAATCGCCGAGGCCGCTGCCGGGGGGGCGTGGCTGGCCGACCGCCCGGCCTGGTCCGCCCGTCCCCCCGTCCTCCGCCGCCCGCCCGGCCCCGCCCGCCCGCCGGCCCGCCCCGCTCGTCCGCCCGCTTTCGGGTCCGCCCCGGCTCGGTCCGCCCGCTCGTCCGGCCCGCTCGTCGCCCGCTCGTCCGCCCGCCCGCTTCGTCCCCGCTCGTTTCCCGCCCGCTGTCGCCCGCTCGCCCGCCGCCTTCTCCGCCCGCTCGTTCCGCCCGCACCGGGCCCGGGGCCCGGCCGCCCGCCCGCCCGCCGCCGCCCCCCCCCCGCCCGCCCCCGCCCCCGCCGGCCCGCCCGCCCGCCCGCCCCCGCCCGCCCGCCCCCCCGCCCGCCGCCCGGCCCGCCCGGGCCCGCCCCGCCGCCGCCCGCCCGCCGGCCCGCGTCCGCCCGCCCGCTCGTCCGCCCGCCCGCAACTCCGGCATTTTTTACGCCTCGGTCGGCGCTCTTTTACGCGAGGAGCGGGCTCGCCGTCACAGCAATTGGACGTTGCGCTTTGGACTTGGCGAGAGTGGTGATGCACAATTGGCGGACGAAGTCGACATCACGTTGCATTATGCTACGTAAAGTGTAGTTGGAGAGGGCAAAGGAAGTTTTTTCTATTACTCAATAAAAAAGACGGAATCTTTTGATCATTTTGTAACAGCCATTAAAATAATTCCAAAGCAGCATTGTCTTGTTATATTGAAAAAGGTATTCACGCATCGCCGTACAATATTTTGGTTCTCCTTTGAAAAGGTGTTACCAATTCACTTAACATACAAATGTAAGCAGGAACAGAATATTCAATTCAAATTATCTGCACTGTACATTTTCATATACGATTATCTACCGTAATAATAAACATGAATGGGAAAATTCAATCAGTGCACTGATTGGTTACATAAACCCAAGGTATGTTGCATGAAATGTTGATCGACATTCTGAGTCTGAGTCGTGTTTCATTTTCAGATACACTTACAATGAAATTAGAAATGCTCATGCAGTTAATTTCAGTTGAGTATCACTGTTATCTTTTCTACCCATAACGAACACAATTTGAATGTAAGTCGTCCACAAATATAACGAAATTAAGAGAACAGAACAGGACCTATCCTTAGTTACACTTATCCAATTATGGGAAGACTCTGATGAACAGTCTGCCATTTCCAGAAATATCGATCTTCTTACTCCTATATAGCTTTGCAAACATTTTTTCTAACATGATAATTGTTATAAAGCCGATAAAAAGTTTGCTCATATTTTGTGGCCGAAGTGGTTTGGTCTTTCAAGGTCTCAATTGGTGTTTTTGTATTGCCCTAATGTCTCGAAAGACCTCAGTCTCTACCATGAATAAAAAACACTTTGAGCTCTTAATATGTAAATAATGTACTGTTGGAGATCGAATAAGTTAAACGGAACTAATTATGTGTAGATCTAGAGAATACTTTGAATCAGTTAAGCCACTCGTAGACTTATTTTCATTTGCATCGCTATTTCTGTTTTGTTATTAGGTTCATTAATCATTTGCACAATTAAGAGTTTCTAGCTGACTCATGATACTTTGAACCAGTTTCCACCATTGTTTACATTTATATACATTTTTTACTTTTGAAGTATAGTAATATGTGATATTAAAAATATGTTAACGATAATTTGTAGAGATTATCAGATTTAATTTCCTTTCACCTAAATGATTTAAGGAATGAAGTACATCATAGTAGTAGGTTTCTTAGGTTCTAAATATATTGTTTCCCCTAATTTTTGAGACTTTTTTCATAAAATTTGTCTTATTATTTGGATTTTTGAATGTGTTGATATCTTCTTGTGATTCATTCAGAGAACAAAGAACTTAATTAAATACATTTTAAAGTCCGATTAAAACAAATGTCTAGAATGTAATCTTTTTCACAATAATTCGGAGATTTTGGGTGCAAAACTAAGAGATCTCACAAGAACTCTATTATACAGTGAACTGAAGGCATCTTGGCAGGAAAGAGTGAATCAGTGATTCAGTGTTTCGTTTTTATGAAATGTTTTGTATGGGACGTTGATTTCGAGCAACGGGATAGAATATGCTACGTAGAGTGGCTGTCCATAGAGTTTCTGCGCTCTTCTTGGTGGAGGCCTTCCGAACTAGTGGTCACCTTGTTCTTTTGTTTTTGTTTTTTTTTACGTCAAAACAGACGAGTGGCGGTGTAACCAAACACAATGCTAGAATACTTTGTTTGCCCAAGAGCGCTGCTTTTGCTACAAAAGAAAACGTGGCTTCAATTGGCTTCAAAGACGAAGGCGCTTCAGCCATACTACGTAGTATATTCTAGTTCGCTGCTTTCGTGCATCATTGGGTTGTTTTGAATGAACAGCCATGAATTTGCGGTTTTCATATGCTTAAGCATTAATTGGTACAAGATTGTTTTGCGGGTTGGAATCTGTTGCATTTATCAGTGTTGCAAAGTGACATTTCTTGCTGAAAAGATAGTGAAAAGTTTATCAGATAATATCGCTATATATTCTGTCACATTCTTGTTATCTGCCAGGGCTGTTGCTGATCAATATCAATCTATCAAAAGGAAGGAGACGAGATAAAGAAAATTGATTATAAGAGTATTTTCAATTTTTTAGCACAAACGCTTTTATTGTACAAATAATAAAATACTTAAAATAATATAAATAATACGTATTTACACAATATCATTAAAATAGTTTTTAGCTTTGCAGCTGCTTCAGGCAGTTCAAGCCAAGAACAAATGTAGTGGTGAATTGAAAGTCCTTCGAATGTTCATTACTGTCAGTATTCATTCGCACTCACAAAATCAGGAAGGTGTACAGGGCAAGAATGCTGATTGGCAGAGCAATTGCGGCAATCCTGCGGAAATTAAATTAAAGCGTTAGCAACAAATTTGAAATACTCTTCATTAACTTAAAGTATCATTGTAGTTTTGGAAACAAATCGTTATTTTGTAACAACACATTACAACGAAAGAAAGGAAGAATTTTTTTTACGTGAAAATTTTCTCAATGCTATTTAAAGGACAAGCAAGAGTGAGCAACGTTGAGCGGTGGGATTTGAGTGATAAGGAAATCTCTTTCTCATAATCAGTACCTGTTGAACGCTCTGCTACTCAGGGTTTGTTCTTTTTTCCCAGTTGCAAAGTTCGAGTGAAACATCATTTTATCTACGAAGCAGATAAATTTCGTGTAACGAGCATCTTAAAACCTTTGAGATTGGATTGGCACGTCAGATTTCTGGGAAGATATTTTAATACGAATTATAAAGAAAGCTAAAAGTTCTAGATGACGGAGATAACGTTAGCTTTTTGTTGGTCCAGGCAAACGCGAAATATTTCGAAATTAATTAAATTACAAGCACGAGCGACGTGAGGATATTGTGGAAGTTTGAGGTTTTTTCTGAACTTTAATAATGAAGAACTTGTCGGTGCTTTGCGTCGGCGGGCAAGTGAAGGGTGTTAACTGGAAGTTGGCTTCCTAAGCGAAGGGAGCGGCAGTCAGCGCCAGAGGGAGGAAATTACGGATCCTAATGGCGTGGCACCGAGCCCAGGAAAAATAACATTTCGCAATATTTTGTAACATGTTGTGAAGATGGGAAGCCCGAAACTTGCTAAAAATAGCGAAATCCAATATAGCCCTTCTCTTCTTGCGTTCCAATTAAATTTGTTTCGAAAAAAGAAAAAAAATAATTGGAGAGTGAATTATGAAGTTTTTCGTGACGTATACTGTTACAGTATTGGAAAAAGCTGAAATACTCCCTTTATCTAAACAGATTTTTCCCGGGCATTTATTAGACTCGCTTTCTGGAAATTCTGAGATTTCCTGAAAGCCGCATTTCCGGAAATTCCGAAGCTTTTGCGTAGCGTTATTGTGTTTGTGTAATTGTTTAAGATATGTATTGGAGTTATTGAAAGTCAATGAACTACTTTTTGGTTTAAGATAATTAATGGAATTATTCTGTGGAAAAAAATTGTGTGGAATTTACAAGAGTCACATCTCATAGAGCATACAAGATAGTTTTGAGAGTGAGAAAATACATAGCTGTACATAGCATAACATATCGGGTCGCTGGTAAATTGCATTTTATCGTGATAGGGGTAGGCAGTGGGAGGCTGCCCCGGCCCAGGACCGATGGGCGTGGAGGGCGGGTGGTTGAAGCGGAGTGCGCGTGGAGCTCACCCGGCCCAGGGCCGCTTGGGCGCCAGCATCTGGCGCAGCGGCGCGTCCTCGCTGAGGTCGAGCGCCGTGCGGCCGGCCAGGTCGCGGGCCGCGGGGTCGGCGCCCGCCGCCAGCAGCAGGCGCACGGCGCGGTGCGCGTCGCCCTCGGCCGCCAGGTGCAGCGGCGTGCGCCCGTCGGCGTCGGCCGCGCTCGCGTCCGCCCCAGCCGCCAGCAGCGCCTGCATCTCGGCCGCGCGGTCCCACAGCGCCGCCAGGTGCAGCGGCGTCACCTGCGCAGCGCGACGCACGCACTTCCACCAATCGCCTTCCGCCAATGAAGTTTGGGGAAAATATTTGCCTCTTGATTTTTAGGCAACACCTTTTGCTCAATATGCTAGTCAAGGGCATGAAATCTGCTCGACAGCCTAAACACGTGACCTACCGAACCTTTGTGCATAAGAGGTTGCCTAAAAAGCAGGAGCAAATGGCGCATGTATAAAGGCAAATGACTCTTATTTGCAATTTCTCACATGCCTTAGACGCTGGTAACATTTATTTTGAGACACTTTGTGTGTATAATGCTCTAAGAAGTGATTACCAATGGCAGATGCTGAGATAGACGCGTTTAGAGGAAAGTTAAAGTGAGAGTAGGCACTTAAGCGCTAAGATATGTGTCATTGGAAGATGGAAAATGAAGTGGAACACCTCGGTTGTGTTGGGACGAAATGAAAAGAAATTAGGAAGAGATCTGTTTGGGAAGCGGTTAAGGAACAAATCGACCAAGTGAGAGGATATGCTGCATGCATTATGGTCCTATTAAGAGTAGAACGTTGGATGTAAAAAATATCATAAAGGCAAGAGAGATACCCGAGCAAGAAATACATGTAAAGATGATGACATCCAGATGTAATGCAATACTCTAGAACATTAGAACGGGGAGGCTCAGATATTTAAGAAAAAAATAGAAAATGAAGCAGTAGAAGTAGAATAGGCAGGTTTTGGACAGGAAATGAGATTAGTTGTAGGATGGAATATTGAAAAGAAAGGGGTAATATCTTGATATATGAAAATACAGAAGACAGATGGGAGAATGTATTAAGAAATGCAGTAGGGAATGGGAGGAAAAGGAGTAGGAGAGAAATTACATGGTAAAAGTGAGGGAGATATTACAAAATAAGAGAGGAAAAGAGGGATGGTTGAAGGAAATAGATGCCGCACAGAGTACAGAAAATAACTCCGTATCCAAAAATTAATCGGGTGGTTTATTTCAGCTGAATAAAATTTAATATAATTTGTTACTCTCTACACAAGTATCGTCAAATTCTTATCTCGAATGCCGAACAGCTGTATGTATTAACGATTAAGATAAAGTTACACTGAACTGTCAAAGAACAAAGGTCGTTATATTGTTCAACTTTGCGCAAGTTTGTTCAAACAAGATTCTTGCGATCAAAACTTCGTTACCAAGGAGGCAGAGAAATGTCTTAATTTCAAGTGCTTGGATATCGAGATCAGCCATATGTGGGTCGTAAAAGCAGAGGTCGTACCGATAGTCATCAGAGCTCTGGGATTTGTTCCGCAAAATTTGTGTAAGAACTTAGCTTATCTCCCAGTTCATTCAAAAGAGTGGGCAGTGCAAGAAATTGATTTATTTTGAACACCCCACATTTTGCGCAAATTATTGTGGTGGCACCGACAGTCCCTAGACCTGCTTCTTAGGTTGCTGGTTGCAAGCTTCAATAAGTAGATTTTATATTCAGCCGACTCGTAACTCGTAATGTAATTTTTGTCATTTTTATTTGTTAGTGGATTAAGCTTTTGTTTCTCTTGATTACTCAAAATTAACAACTCAAGTTTTTAGGACGTTCTTGTGAGTCCGTGAACCTCTGAACGAGATACAATGCAGTCTCAGCTTCTAAAATTTCGCGTGTTTGAAACCTTTAAGCACTGTTCGAGAGCTGTTACCAGGCTCTTTGATTATAATTTATAAGCGTGAACTCGTGAGCTTTGCACATTTTGGTCTCGAGGTTCATACTTCAGACTCTCGTGTGGGATTCTCTTTTCTTTTGCCTCTATCATTTAACTGGCAAATAGTTAACACTATCTAGTATAAGCAAACACTTGAGTAACAAGAACAGGAAAGGGGAACAAAAGTTGTTTCAAACATATAGATGTTTATATTTTAATGTTCGAAAACGACGACGATTGTGAAATAGCGAAACGACGTTTTAACCGAGAACCGATTTTCATCAATGGTTCAAACTTTTATATTTTTCACTGTCACTTTTTCAACTGACCACAGATGCACATTTCAGTTCCATTTCCAATCGGTTTTCAACACTGTTCCTCCACCGAATGTCCATGAATTTTGCCTAGTGTCGTCTCGATGTCCTGTCATTTGTCGGTGTGGAGCGATGGGCAGAATCGTAACGATCCATCTCGTCGCTCGTAGCCTTGGGTTCGAAGGCATGTAACGGGGTCTTTCAGTAATAAAGCCAGAAGTGAGTGCAACTCACCCCGTCCTTGTTGGCGGCGCAGGGGTCGGCCCCGCCGGCCAGCAGCGCCTTCACCACCTCCAAGTAGGCGCCGGGCGGCGGCAGGGGCGCGCGCCCCGCGCCGCCCCCGCCCCCGTCCCGTCCGCCGTTCCTCGTCCTCGTCCTCCTCGTAGTCCTGGTCGTAGCCGTCCCGCGGGGAGGCGTGTAGGTGAGGTAGAGCTCGCAGAGCAGGTAGCCGTGCAGCGCGGCGGCGTGCAGCGGGGTGTCGCCGTCGTCGTCCCGCGCGCCGGGGTCGGCGCCCGCCTCCAGCAGCCGCCCTCACGCGCTCCGCGTCGCCGTAGAACGCCCGCGCCGTACAGCTCGGGCGGCCCATGGCAAGCAGCCGCTGTCCGCCGTCCTCGGCCACGCGACGGTCCTCTCGCTCCGCGCGAGAGCGAGTGCGGGCGGCGGCGGCAGGCGGCGTTTTTTACCGCGGGAGCGCTTATGCTCGCGCGCAGCCTTATCGCCGCGTCGCCGGGGCGGGGCGGGGCGGGACGGGGCGGCCGCAGCCGGTGGGCGCCTCTGAGCGTGAGCGCTCGCCCCTCCGCGCCGAGGGGGGCCGGGGCGAGTGCGCGCGAGGTGCGACCTGCGGAGAGGCGGCTGTTGCCAGGGCGAGTGGCGCAATCGGTGGGAAAGAGGCAAAGCGGCATTCAAATGCCGGGAGGGAATAAACAAAGCATGCCCTGGCTTCGTCTATGACAGCGATCGGTTGTTGTTTGCAATTGTATGTTTTGCTACAATCAGAAATTTCACGCGTCGTCGCTTCGATGTTGTTTTGTTAGGCGTAACGTTGCGTACACAAGCAGGGGAAAAGAACTTCGATCGGGCCAGAGACCAAGGTTTTCTCGTACCCATTATAGCTATTCTGGGTGGTGCAATTTCCATGTGTGCAGTTTGGTTAATTTCCAGTACCATGTTGCATCTTGCATCTCGGAATAAAATTGCGTAAATAACCAAAGTTTGTAAATGAAGGTTTAGTCAATACATCTCAGAGTTATCAGCTAGCACAGACACTCATCGTTTCGCCTGCAAGCAATAATTACAATTAATTCCAAGAATTCTTGTAATTTGCACTGATGTAAGTTCTTGCTGTATAAGATTTTAATACAGTACTTTTTGAATATTGTTTTTCTTAATTTCATGGTAAATACAAATAATCCATTTATCTTCAGTATTGTGCTGTAATTTCACAGCTTATTCTATTGGTTTCATATTAAATACGGTTATCCTTCGTGTAAGACTAAGATCGTGGTATTGTAGATTCCAAATTATAAAGTCGTATGGAATCATACGTACAATAATAAAATGGGGGACGCAAGTGTAGTTGACTAAACAACTTCAATAGCTACGTTTTTTGTCACCCTATAGAGAGATGCTTGGGAGTTATTTTCATCCGGACATAAGACTTCCTAGATTCGAATGTGTACACAAACTAGGGTTTGTGTCTCAGCTGACCGATATAATAGCGTTGACCCATAAATCATTGGCCAACCAAACTCTTATGTAACTATTATCTTTCAGCCAGTTTGTTGTCACTTCGAAAAGAAAAATTCACAAAATGGTAAAATATTAGGATCCATTGTACTTTCTCGAAAACCTTTTCACTGGCGTGCGTGGCTCAGGGCATCAACTGACATCACTGCACCGCCACTAACAGGGAGAGCCTAGGGTTCTAGTTTGGACGGAGGCAGGATACTCTATTGTGTTATCAGAAGCACTTCTGTTCAATCATACACAACATTATAATGTGGGGGGGGGGGTGTTCATAAGGAATCAATTATGATCTCCACATTTCAATTTAACTTCGTTAAGTTTTAAGACAAAAACTTTCTTGCCGTTATCAAATTTTTAGGGCAATTATTATGATGTTTTTATGAATGAAACCCGAAGGAAGTATTTTTCTTCATATATGTTTTAGAAATGTATTATTTTCCTTTCATGTTTTCTTTTGTTGATTGAGTTTTCTTTATGTGTCAACCTCTTATGACGGTAGGTAAGTGTGTAATAGAAGGAATACTTTCTTTCAACATCTTTCTCATTTTGTTGGAAAAGTTATAGATATACCGTGAGTGCCAACAACTTACCTCGTGTCACTAAAATTGCTTATATGTTTTTGACGAAGTTGGTCGTTGGTGAAGTGGTTCGTATCCTCTAATAATTACTGCGTAGATCTTTTGAAGAAATTCTCCCCGGCGTCTGTAGACATAAATATCAAATGCAATCTTTTTCAAATGCCTTACCCAAACGAAAAATTAATATACTACGTAGACGTTTCAAGGAATTTATTTTTTTAAATTATGTTATTGCACTCTCATGAGCACAGGGAGGTAAAGAACATAGCTAAACATTTATATTTTGTTTTGTTGTATATTCTGAAAGAGTCGGATATTTTCCAAATACACTTCACAATCACCTTAAAATCAATTATAATATTACACCACATTAGTCATTTATGATACGCGTAAAGGTGATATTTTATTTTATTAGGTAGATACTTTGCGAGTACGAGCAAAATAAAATCACTTTTACCAGGTGTGTCATACACTATTTTTAGACAACCGTACTTTCATATTATTCTAATTTAAGTATATAAATCAGTTATTAAGGTTACTAGTAGCTGTTGCGGTCAGACGAAATAATTTTTCTTTGTTGCATTCACACTTTTGTCTAAACACTTGAGCATCGTCTCATGTTTAGCACTAGAGCTAAAAATTTAACTTTTAGAACGCTATGCGTGTTCTGAAAGAACCCCTAGAGACAGCTTGAATACAAATTTCACTTCTTTATATTAATTCACACTTACATGTACCAATTACAAATTTTATTACTTACCTGTTGACGTAATATTATTTTTGTCGACATCCGATGTGCTTGACGCTTTTTGAAGACTAGACTTACACATGAACACCTTTCTATGTTGTTTACTTTCACTTCAAAATGAAGCCAGTTGTTCCACAGAGAGCTATCTGAAAACCCTTTCAACTACCGTTCGTCAACTCTCCCCAGTGAAATATAAGCACATCGTATGTCCGTCACTGTGTTCTATTGACCAAATTGCCATTTCTGACGCCCGCCGGCTTACGTCAGCGGCGGCGAGTGTCGATAATCCCAATATACTAAATCAGCGCGGTCTGTTTGCGCGAGTGCGTCAGTGCGACTACGTCCGAATGCTCTGCTGACGCCCCGTCGACATTGAGGCTGGGCGCAGTTGCCGACGCGAGGTTATCTGTTTGTCGCTATTAATTACCTGTGATCGATGGCGCTTCAACTGTCTTCTCGTGCATGGCACTCGTAGAATGAATTAATAGGTCCATTCTCTCTGATGCATAATAGCTGAGGACTGACATAGAGCTTATGTTTTATTTTTAAAACCTGGCATAAAATTGATTCTACACCCATCAATACGAGAATGAATTTATTTCTTCAGAAAATGGCTTCACATTGTAAAATGCTTTCATCACATCTTAATATTTCACGGACGATGTTAGTGAAAGAGAAAACATACATAATGCATCAGCTTGTGTAATTGAATCAATTCTGGATGGTCCTGCTACAGAATTGTGTTATGATGAATATCCATGTACTAGTATTTACTTCTTCCTTCCACGGAAAAATCAGAAAAAAGAACATAGTGACGATCTCGTAACAAGAATCAACCAACTAGGTATTGTAAATATATAATGTAACATTATCCTGTGTATTATTACTAAATTAGTACATTGCATTGCACTGTATACGATTGTTGGTTACCGTGTAAGTGAACATGTACATGGTTTATCATAATCATTTTGTATCACAAGAAAAGAATATGGATTGCGAACAAAGATGAGGCAGAACTATATTACTTTCCTGAATTATCTGATTCAGAGATAAAATAAGCGATTGTTCCCATAGCTCGCAGTGCGCATGCGTTGATAGTTTTACTTAGGTTTAGTTTATTTCTGTTTTTAATACACATGTTCATGACTGTTTTGTTCTTTTCACTGCTTGGAAACACAGAAGGGATTTTTTCCTCTCAAATTCCAGCCAAATCATAAAATATAGTCGCGTATTTAAAATGATAAGAACAGAGAAGTTCATTGGAACTTTGAACGACGATATTCTTTGACAATAATGTGAAGAGGAAACGTATTTATAGATTGAAAGAACAAAAGGATTACTATTTTAAGAATTGCTAGCGTCTCTGGTAAAGAACTCTGGGATATCGAAACCCTTTGCACAAAATCGCAGCCTAATATTGCCGATTGATGTCAAGAAACAGACCATTAAATGGGCCCATATTATGGGGTTGAATTTCAGCCTACCTAATTTAGAGGCTTTTATCAAATATTAATATAAAATACATTAAAAAGTTATTTTTTGAACGTGAACGCAATTTGTCGTCTGTCGGTAGATTCTCGTTTTATGGATACCCCCATGTTAAGGTTGGTTACGAGTGCAAGCTGCAAAACGTATCTCGCTACAGAAAAACCAAAAATCAACATTTCGGACTTCACCCACCTAATGGTGGCTTTAGCTGGCTAAAGTAGCGTGATGGTTGGAGTGTTAGGCATCTTTTGTACACTCAAGCAGTTTGTTAGCATTAAAATGCGTTGGAAATTCCGCGTTGTGTAGACTCAAGTTTGCTTTGCGGAGGTAGCAAAGGCTCGCGGGGTCTCGTTGCCAAATCGAATGTGTAGGGAAGCGACAACCGATGGTGAGGTGTCGTGAGGTTAGGTTTGGTGCTATCGTGAAAATAGAACTTTACGACTTATACTCGCATTGTGTAGCTCGAAACTACACCCCTTCTCTTCTACTAGCTTTAGAAAGCAAACACCAGCTGTCTGATCCCTGTTTACCATATTCTCGCCCCCGTAACGTAACCTGTTGTTGGCTAGTATCCACTTCGTGCGGAGTATTCTTCCGCAGCGAGCCTTAAAACGTAAGCCCGAAGTATGCTGCAAAGTTGTCACTGTTGTTACAATACGGATTCATTTATTATTAATTTACCATTACTTTTTCGTAAATCAATTCACTTATGTATTTAACACATTTTTATAATTATTTATCATTTACACTGGATGTAATATGTAAATCACATGATTTTCTTTACAATCATACATTCAAACGACTACCGACTTTAATATACTACACAATTGTCAAACCCAAACCTATTTTTTAACTGAAGACCGTGTCTTGGTAAACATTATGTTGTTGATAAATACACATTCAATTTCACAATTTCACATAAATACAGTTCAACAGTACAATTCCACATTAATACAGATCAACAGTTTCTATTTGGAAATTTATCCACCCATTTTGAAATACGTTAACATAAACCAACTAATTCGGCTAGGAGCCAAATTAGCTCTTTGCTCGTAACATCAATAGCAAAAATCAGAAAATTTGAAAGAGAGAAGTATTCTTAGAATCCTTTTTTGAACAAAAACGAACTTAAATTTTTAGAAAACTGATGGAAAACATTTCTGCTTTTAATAATCGATCAGTGTCAACACTTTCTAATCTCCAGTGACTTTTTTCTGTACG